AGTCAGAATTGAAGTTTGCTGTAAGGGATATAGTAGTTTTTAAAAGATTAGAGAATACTTTATGCAATTTTATAGTAATAAACACGAAAATCTAGATAAAAAGTTTTCTAGAATATATAAATTTTGAAAAGACTAAAATTCCATTTGAATCCAAAAAAGTATTTTTAGTAATCTATTCTAATTCTAAGAAAATAACTAGATGTATAGCCAAAGATTTATGTGAATAGTGGCATTATTTGTGAATAAAGATTATGACCTTATTAAGGACACACTCTGAAGCCAGATTACTTGAGATAGAATCAGAGCTGTGTAAACTTGAGTGAGATACTAAACCTCTCTGAAGCTCAATTTCCTCATCTGTAAATGGGTACAGTATATATAGTGAACTAGCTATTTCATTTCATAATTTTGCTTTATAAAGACCTTAGTCTAAAAACGAAAGAAATGCTGAATTTCTTTTTATGCAAAAACATGCTAAATATGTAAAAATGAAAACTCTTAATAATTAGAGCCTGAAAGAAGCTATACAGAGGGGAGTATTTTGACATTTTAATGGGCTCTATTTAATTTGTTAGAAAATATTTAATAGAGTGTCAAGATATAGGAATAAAGAATAATTTTTTTCCTTCAAATCTGTCCTAATATTTAAAGGAATAGGAAGTATGAGGTTTGATAAAGTATGAGGATAAATACTTTCCTCCTACTGAGTCATATCCATGTAGTATGTTTTCAATTTATGTTCTAGTATTATGTACATAGAATATAATTTAAAACCAAAATGTGAGGCTTTTTGTATCCAAACTGTCTATAACTCCACCACAAAAGGATGATGCAATTTTTATCAGTCTAAAAACCTATAAATGCTCCATTAAATTTCTGCATATGATAATCATAGATAAAAGTTAAAGCAAAGTGAATAAATATTGAGGATTGAGTGTATTCGTTTTAATGAATAGCAATATGAAGAATGAACTAAAATCATGAAAAAATTTTAATTTAGAAATCTGTTATATGATTATAAGGAAATAATGTTACAATCATGTTATTATGTTGATGCTGCATATCAACTTGTATTTTAAGATGATATTTAGAATACTGTATTCTGTTAAATAAACAAATTAGAGCCTCATCGTATTTTGATGGTTACATGATCTTCATCCTTAGGCTTAAAGAAGCATCACATAATTGTCTTTTAAATCCTTATTCGTTAAAAAAAAATCAAATAAATGTAAATATTATCTTCTAGACAAAAAGGATAATTCTGTTAGACTTAATGTTTCTATTAAAACAGTAATATTGTACAGGTAGAATTTTTTACACCGCAGAAAAGAGAACATACCAAAGTAAGAAAACATACAGAAAAAGAGAACATATGCTTTTTCAAGATGTCTGGTTTTAGTAGATTTGAAATTTTTATATGTAGATTTCTTAATTTCAAATCAAGAGATTTAATTTAAAAATCACTTGTCAACAGGCATTCTGTGCGTCTTATCACATGCAAATTTTTATAGACGAATATTGCTGAGCATAATCAGCTTATGGAAATGTAGTTTGGGTTTGCTAATAGAGATAAAGACTAAATATATTTAAATATGTCATAGAATATATTTTAGAGTAGGCTTAGAATCTATTTTAAATGACCATAGCAACAGAGAATTCAGTTGCATCATCACTTACACTATGCTCGAGTAATAAAATTGACCATAATGCTGGAGTCTGCACGTGAGCTTATTTCTTTCAGTTTTGAAGACTTGCTTTATCAACATTAGGAAATGAACTCTTCCATATTCAAGTGTTTATATTGCATAAGTAAGAAATTGTTTTAGCAAATCAGTCAAGGACTCTGAGAAAAGTTCATTCTTCTTAGTTGTCTGCAGAGGGTAAAAAAAGCTACATGTAGATGAAGGAAATCTATATCTTTAGCTTATTTGCTTATTGCCTTTTTTGTCAGTGTCTTAGAATCACCTCCATGAGCCAATTATAGCTATGGAAGCAGTCCCTATGTCTCACATTAAATATTCTTAGAAATCTTGTTATTGGTGAATGGTTAAACACATCCCACAGGAACTATGGAGGTGGCTGAACACCTGACCAAAGCCATTTTGGTATCTAATAAGCCGTAACTATGATTGACACTGTGTCATAACACTAAATATGCAGTTATAGCTTTCATAACGATTTAACCTTGAGGGCAATAAACTTGAATCTGAGATAGTGTTATGAACGTTTAGAGCTAAAAGAAAACCACAGAGATCACTAACCAAGCCTTTCATTTTCTGTATGAAGAAACCAACCCAAAATGGCAAGCTAACCAACAATCTGACTGTGATTTCAGCTACGTAAACTGCAGAGCCAAGACCAGAACTTCTCTTTTCTGATTCCCAATGGAAAATATTCTCTTCTCAGAATACTTTCTTTATAGAAATTCAGTTTAAAAAACATGGGAGTATGGACACGTTAAGTATACCAAAATATTCCAAAGTACTATTAAACATAAAAATATAAATGTATCGTAAATTTAACCTAAGATCAATATATTAGCAAAAATGAATATGACTTAACTTGGTTTTATTTGTGATTTAGTCATTTCTTGTGCATTCTGAGAAAGGCTTTTTAAGACTGATTTAGATGGCTCTGGTCATTTTTCTGTAAGCTGGGTGAGGAAAATTTTGATGTTGCCTTTTATTCACACAGGGTAGCATAAGTTTTCCAAATCATACCTTCATGACTTAGATTAGAATGTTTAAAGATAGCTATTGTGATAGATCTAAGTCACTGAAGTCTTAAAGAATTTTAGTTGCAAGGATTTAGAGCCTTGCTCGTCAGTGTCTTCCAGAAATCAACAGCATCAGAATCACTGAGGAATTTGTTAGAAATGCAGAATCTCAGCTTCTGCTTCCCTAGACATAGACCTACTGAATCAGCACCTGTGTGTCAGCAAGATCCTGGGTGATTCTGATGCACGTTGGAGTTTGAGAAGCACTTACTCAGAGAGTTAGTAATCTCAGAACCTGGTCTTGTTTTTTGTCATTTCCTTATCTCTTTCTTCCTCACCTTTCCTTTTCTGTCCTCCTCCCGACCCCCAAAAAAGGAACGTAAAGATATCAATGTGTGCTTTAATAAGCAAAAAGAAGTTCAAATCAAACGTGTATAGAAGGGAGGAAGGGAAATATATCTCTTCATTCTGAGATGGCGTGGAGGACTAATTAGCTAATTATACTTATGTGTCTTTGGAATGTTTTTACATCTAGCAGGTCTACATTCTTTTTCCTCTTCTAGTTGCCCCCGAGCCATTATTCACGTTCGTCCCTGCTCCCAAAAGCAAGGTTGTGTAACTGCATTGAGAAGTGGAGTACAGGAGTTAATTATACAGTGTTGAATTGACAGAGGGTGAGCCACAAAACATCAAGAGCAGAGACTGCCTATTCCGGTTGAGGACAGAGAGCAGCAAAGGATTTATTGTTGGTTATGTAACCTGGGAACCACAGTGAATAACAGGCATTGTGAGGCAGAGGAGAAGTGGTTGTGATTAAAAGCAAAGTAAAATACCTAAGTTCAGGGTTCCATATGCAAGGATGACTCTAGTGAGTGATGGATTGAAAGTCTACTAGAGTGATTAAGAGCTTAGACTCTAAGCTAAAACTTGCATGGTTCAAATCCCAACTCATCTACTTCTTCGCTCTAGGACTGTGGCCAAGTTACTTAACCTCTATAAACTCTTCATTTGAAAATAGGGGGAAAAAAACAATAGTAGCTACCTTATGGGGTTATTGTAAACAGCAAATGAGAAAATCTTTGTAAAAACATTTTCTCTGTCTGAAACATAATAAGTACTTGGTGAGTGTTAGGGTGTATTTATTTGTTTGTTTGTTCGCTTATTCATTAAGATTCTTCTCATCAGTTTCCCTTGTGCACAATAGCATTATTTTAAGTGGTTTTTCTTGGATTTGTCTGTGGTGTGTGGCCATGACAAAGAGCTGCAGCTTTAACTAAAGGGAATTCTCTGGGTTAAAGAGCGAGTGTCTGTTGATCACCTCTGGGGTAATGAATGAGTACTGTACTGGGTGTGACGGTGGTGGTAGTGGTAGGGAGTGTAATGAAAGAAAATGAAAAATGTCATACAATCCAGAGGCACTTAGATTCTGAATGGAAAGAGATGAGATATACACATATATGGAGAAAATCTCGACAGATGATTCCAAAGCAACATGTTCATATGTTGAAAATTATATAGGATAAATTAGGATGTTTGGAGTAATTGAAAGGCAACTCATCAATACTGGTCATCAACAGCTTTTATTTTCTTCAGGTGTCTTCTATAAAGGAAGAAAAAAGGAGAGAATTATTAGATGTATTAGGCAAAACTATAGTTTGACATACACTAAAGATTTTTTTAAGCCTAGATACTCTGGAATCTTGATTTAGAAGTGCACTAAGCACTAGAGGGCAGAATGTGAGAAGGTAGTGCTATAGATAACACTGAAAGAGCTGCCAGCCCCAGCCCTCACTGTGGTTATATGAACGTAGAGTTGGGCAAGAGGGGCAGAATTCTGAAGAATGGCAGTGAGACAGTGCTCTGTGATTTCACCATTGAACTTCACCTTAAGCTTGGGATGGATTTGGGCTGGGGAGAGCGGGGAATGGGTAGAGTTGGTAGCAGGAAGGCAGTCAGCAGCAACTGCATTAACATTTGGGGAAAATGAAAAGAACCTGAACTAGGACTGTGGCAGTAGGGTGAGAGGTAAAGATGGTTTTCAAAGGTCACTGGTGAAATTGTCTGTCATGGACATCTTTAACATGGAGGAAAAAACACTGTTCACCAATAAACACCCAGGGTCATCTCTAATTCTAGAAACAAGTGAAAATCGGCATGTCAGTGGATGGTTAAACGTCACATGAGGGTCTGGCTGATGCTTTCAGTCTGGGATCTCCTTTAAATGTTTGGTTCACAGTCTCTGATCCTCTGTCTAATCTGACTCTCTTTTTCTTCTTTTCCACAGTACCCGTGTATCCCAAGTGAACAATGTTTCGACAACTGGAGAGTAAGTTATTTGGATTGGATTTTTTTTTTACCCTCTCTTCCCATTTATTAAATAGAAAAAAGCTATTCTAATAGTGTATAGTATTGGAAGACTAATGCAATAAGCAACTAGTGATGATTTTTAAAACTACACAGAGGAGAGACTTAAATAAGAAGTGTTCCTATTTGAGCTGCCGTGTGGGTGTGTGGCTAGAATCAGCTCAGCCATTTGAACATGCAAGATTTTTGTTTATTTCAGTCAAAATAATGTCAGAGTCAATTAATATTTGCAAAGCAGTCTGCATGCTTTGGGATGTATTTTGCAGTGGAGAATGCCATTAAAGGTTAAAGTATTAACAGTGTCTTTACTTACTCCTTTGTTACTTTTAGTCAGCCTGCGTTTATTGAGTACCTACAATATGCCAAGCGTAGTGTGAAGTGTGTAATGTCAAATATGCCGTGGGCTCTGCCTTCAGGGACTTGACAGTCTAATAGGGACACAGAAAAGAAAGCAAATTAGTGATGGCAACAAGTCCTTTTTCCACAAGGCAGCACAGTGCTCTGTTAATTATGTTCATCACATCTTTTTCCTCCTAAGGCTACCAGTTGCGCTTAGACTGAAATCTAAACTCCAGTTATCTGCCCTTGCCTACCTCTCTGACCACATCGCTCATTATGCTTCAACCACACGACCTTCTGTTTCTGGAGCAGGCCAAGCTTATGTCTACCTCAGAGCCCTTGCTGTGCCTCAGCCTAGCCATTCACCTTCTTATCATTCACCCCTTTGTTCAAATGTCATCTCATCTGAGAAGCCTCCCTGACGACACACAGTCACTCTCCAACTCTGTACTCTATTTTGTAGAAAATTTATCACTATCTGAAATTCCATGATTTGTTTATTGTCTGTCTTGCTTCATAGCAATGTAAGCTCCATAAACACAGGGACCTTGTGTGTCATATTTATGGCTGTATCCCTAACACCTAGAAAAGTACCTGCTATATATTAGGTACTAAATAAATGTTTGTGAATGGTTCCTTGTCCTAAGGTTTTCCATCGCACTCACCTCTAGTCCTTCCTTGCTGGGACACGGGTGGGCCTTTTTGGAGCATCTTCCATCAGCCAGGATCAGGTGGAGGACGAAGGGAAGAAGTGATAAGGAGGATGAAAGAAAAATTAGAAGAAGCACTAATTGGTATGAATTTGGATCTAATAGGAAGAATTGGGAATATTTTTTCTTCTTTGTTAGGTAAGAAAGCAATCAGAGGGCAGGATGGACCTCTCTTAGCTTTGTGAGTTTTAAAGAGGTTCCAGAATTATACCAAGACTGACATGTTCTTGCCTGTTTGTGTCCTGATAACCTTTACTTATACGTCTTGTATAGTTTGGAAAAGGTGTGGGGTTGGTCTGTGTGTATATATTAATTTACTCACATTCCTATGTACTACTATTAGGTAATCTTGAATCATTGGGATGTGGAGTTCTAAATATAAAAGTTCTAATGCCCAAGTTAGACTATACTTGCTCATTGTATTAAAACGTTTTTTTTTTTTTAATTTTTTAATTTTTTGTTTTATTAAAACGGTTTTAATGAAATTACCAGGAGCCTATTATAAAATGACGTTTGCAAAATCTAAAGTTCTTAAATTTTTGAAAACTCATTTAAGTGAGTGTATTTCTCAATCTGAACATTTAAAAAAATATATATGTGGCTTTTGTTAAAATTTTTAACGGCTTTATTGAGGTATAATTGATATACAAAAAACTACACATATTTAATGTATCCAATTTGATGAGTTTGGATGTGATTCTTTTTTCAAGCGAAGGAAAACGTGCTTTGAGGAGTATAAGTTTAGATTTTCCACGCCAGCTTCTTCAGAATTAAATAGTGTGGTGATAAAAGAAGGTTTAGACACAGTGAAAGATTATATAGCTTAAAAATGACGCCTTATCTGTCTCATTATGCACTCCTCTCAGCCCCCGTGCTCACCTCTTTCCCTCAGGTTGAACAAAGTAAATCAGCCCTTTCTTCAGTAACATACTTTGAGGTGTTTGCATGAGTACAAGTTCAATTATGTACATCACAGTTTAATCAAATAGAGGTTCGGAAAGATTTTGCCATTGTGTTATGAGTAGTAATTGTTCTGGTGAGGTGTTCTTTTTTGATAGCATTATTCCCTATATAATTTTATCTTAGAGGGATTCTAAATAGGTAATAAACATCGTAAGATTATTCATGCCAGTTTGCTTTGTAAATCATACTGTCCTCTGCAGAACTGGTATGAAATCTGGAGGAAATTCACCTTTGTAAGAATAGGTCCATTATTATTCCATGGGGAAAAAAAATCTTTCCTCATTCTGCATTATATTAAATGACCTTTACTTCCTGAATACCTCCTGTAATTGTTGCTAGACTTGCTGTGAGCGTTTCAGTAATCCTGGACTCACAAAGATGAGAAACATGACTATCAAATTGGTAGAATTAGTTTTCTTTTTAACGCACAATGCAAATATTCTGAGATTAATGCCTCGTATACTGTCTTTGCTCATGAAACTGTAGTAGATCTTCCATTGGAAATACTGATATTTCCAGAATTACAGGCACCTGTTTTTAAAGGCAGTCATTGATAAATCTGATTGCTTGATTGACTTGATTCTTTTTTACCAGACTCTTAGAAAGAACCATCCGGTCAGCTGTAGAACAGCATCTTTTTGATGTTAATAGCTCTGGAGGCCAAAGTTCAGAGGACTCGGAATCTGGAACATCGTCAGCATCTTCCACCACATCCACCAGACAGCGGCGACGCCCATCCAAGGAGCAGGATGAAGTTCTATGTGGCAGAGACCTGTGAGTTTGCATTGATACTTCTTGTTTGTATTTTCTCTTCTTCTTTTAAAAATATACACCTGAATTAGTCACTGTGTTATAGTCACTCTCATTTCAGTATTTAGGTTAAAACTTTAAAAGTTTCATTTTGACCATTCTAAAATTAGCTGACATTTGGAAATTGGTATGCGATTGAATAAACACTTCAATTTTGTCTAGATATTTCATGTGTTGTAAGAAGCCACCTCTGATTAACACTTTTCATGGCTTCCTCATGAATATCTTATTTAGAAGGATGCTGAACCATTGGAGGAGAAAATTGCCATGTGCCTATCCAGCGGTGTGTTTTTTTTGTAAGACAACCTTCAGTTGGCTGTTAGACTAGCTGAGGAACCAGCAGATTTCCCTACTGTATTGACCTGATTAAATACTAGACTATCACTATTATAGTCTGACAGCTGATTATGTTTCAGTATAAGAAGGGTTGAGATGAAGTCTAATCAAGAGAGGAAAGGCTTGAGTTCTTTGTTATTATAATGACTCATTTTAAGGCATTCCCACAGCATGAATTTCATGAATAGTGTTACAAGGAACTTTATTCCCCATTAAAAGATTTTATAAAATGCAAATGAACAATTACTATTCATATTATTGAATAATCATGGTTTAAATTGTCAAGGAAAATAAATGTATATAATAGACTATATTCCTATATTTTTCCCAAAAGTTTTAAGTTTATTTGTATCTACTGTAGCATTTAGTCTCTATAGTTACTGTTTTGAACTCCTGATTAAATGTCAAAGACTAAACCAGACTCTAGTCCCACTCATTCTTTTTCACGTGGATTCATAATCTACATCAAAATCTTGACCAAAGAAAAATTTTTTTCTTAAAGACACAAAAGGTAGATATTATAAATAAATTCTGTGTTGCACATCATTGAGATGTTTAAGGGCTATAGTAACAAAGGTAATTTTAGAAATAAAACAGTATCAACGATATAACCCGCTAACTTTTCACAGGGCATATGCAGCGCTTTTTAAACATTTGTCTTGGAGCTGGTAGCTGGGAGCGGGTGTTGTAATATTCCCTTTAGAAAATAGAAAAAGTATCATACAGGAGATATTTACATTTAAAATTAGCTACTGACTAAACTTTATAGGATGTGTTTAGAAGTATAATTAGTTTGTGTACCTCCTATATTGTGTTATACAGCAAGTACAAATTATTCATTTAACACTCTTATCTTCTGCCTCGTTTTTTACCAAATGGTACGTAGCAACACTTTGCATTTTTAAAATGTCCTTGTGTGTCACAGCATCGTGCTTTCCACTCTGTTTGGACAGAGGGTTAGCAGGCGGAGGCTGGAAGTGGTAGTGAGTGACAGAGAGGCAAAGATGGGCGGTGGCAGTGGTGATGGTGGGTGCACGGTGGATCACGGGGACAGCATGTGGGGTGAGGTCAAAATGGAGGGGGTAGGCAGGGAGAAAGATAGGAAACAGAGGGTGACCTCTCCTGCAAATTCAAGTATGGAGCTTCCCAAGCCCAGAGATGTTTCTAGTATAACTTATCTTGATTGTATTTTTCTGTCAGCATCAGGGGAGCAAAAGGAGATGAAGGAGGGTGGAGACTGACGAATTGTCTAAAGGCCCATGAAACTCGAGTGTCTCCCTTAGTTTCTCTTCTCTGGTATCCCCTTCACTGCTCGTTCTGGTCACTCACTGTGGTCAGAACAGAGCTGTGCTTTGAGGGAGAGAGTCTTTGGGTGCAGACTGTATGTAGCCGAGGCAGGTGACAAACAGTCTCACTATTCTTTTTCCTTAGTACGTGGTCTGGGCATTCAGAAGTCCCCTTCGTGTGCTCCTTGTTGGCTTCACCCTCCTAGTCGTGAGGTCCCCACCTAACCTGGCGCTGGGTCACTGTCCTGTCTTGGTAGCCCTTCCTCAACTCCCGGCCTATACTGAACCGCTTCTCTGAGCTCTCCAGGTCTTTGGAAGAGCAAGGCCCTTATCTCCCAGAGCACCAGACCTGCTACTTTTGCCCCCATGAAGGTCCTTGCCAGCGTGTCCCCAGGAGATGCACTAACAGGCAGATATCTTAGAGCTGCAACTATTTAAAAGATATATCCTTGAAGCCAATGGTGACCATATTTCAAGGTGAGATTAAAGAATCAATAAAGTCTGTACTAAAATCATCATGGCAGATTTTTAAAATAAGCAATACAGAAGATAGACTAAGACTGTAAATACTTCATTTTACTGCACATGATTTCTTATTTGTCTGAATTCCTAAGAAAACATTATCAGGCTTATATTATTATTTATTACAATAAAAATGTAAAAGTTTAAGGAATATATTCATTATGTGAAAGGGTTCAGTTTAATTCATTTATTAAAAAATTTACCATCTGCCAGGTACATGGAAATGTTGAATCTTGTTGATTGGTATATGGAAGTTCATTGTGATAGTCTATTTTTCTATATATTTGAAAATTTCAAAACAAATATTTTTTCAAAAGCAAACCATTATTTAAGTGAAAATGGGTTCAGTCTTCCAAAACACAATGAACTGGAAAATTATACAAATTTGTTATATAAGTATTATATTAAATTCCTACTGCAAAGTAAAAAGAAAAGCGTGCTATATTCGAAGAATAACAAATAGTTCAGTATTGCTAGAACATTAAGTGTGTATGTAGGGGTGAGAAGGAAACTGAAAAAAGAAAACTAGAAATAAAATCTAGCAAGTGAAAGTGAGAGACCACAGAGATCTAAGTTCAGGTCAGATGTAAGTGATGTCAGATATGATCAGAGCTGGCAGAATGTCACAGGAAGGAACCGTGCACAGTGCTCCTCATAGTCACACAGGCACCGTGGCTGAAAGGCTTTGACTTACACAAAAGCAAAGACTTTCCTTTGAGGAGAACAGGATTTCCACATGAGCACAACTGCGCAGGCAGATTGTCATAAATTTATTTAGACAAGATTTATTCCAGTCATTCACTCATTATTCAAAAAGATTATAAAATAAACTTTGTCTTTTAATTTCTAAAAATAATTTTTAGCTTTGGTATTAGTCAGCTTACGCTACCATAATAAAGCACCACAGGCTGGTGGCTCAAACAACACATTTATTTTCTCACAGTTCTAAGAGGCTGGAAGTTGGAGACCAAGGTGCGGACAGAGCTGGTTTTTGATGACATCTCTCTCTTAGACTTGCAGGCGATGCCTTCTCACTGTGTCCTCATGTGGCCTTTTCTCTGTGTGCGTGCTCTCCTGGTGCCTCTTCCTCTTCTTACAAGGACACCAGTTCTATTGGATTAAGTCCCCACCTTATGAGGTCATGCTTCATGTAACCTTAAGTACCTCCTGAAAGGCCTTGTCTTCAAGTGCAGTCACACTGTGGGTTAGGGCTTCAACATATGAATTGAGGGGGGCAGGGGGACACAATTTAGTCCATAACAGCCTTCAAACATAAAACCCACTCCATTAAAAAATTATACCTCAGGAGTTAGGAAAAATATGAAAAGTGATAAGAAGATAGAATTTAAATAGTAAGACAAATAATTTTGAATTTGAGACCAAACTCACCCAGCCATCCACAGAAGGCCGTGCTCTCAGTGCGCAGAGGGGAGAGATGAAGGGTGTTGCGTGAGCGTACATGCTGGCATGTTAGCCCCATCAGCTTTTCCTCAGGCCTTCAAGTATTTTATCCTTAGGATATTTCTGGTGAAAGATGCATAAATCTTTTATATAATTTTACTGAATCTATAGATTTTTACATTAAAAGTTGTATAAAATAAGACTAAAGTAAACTGGAATATTAAAAGTCCCAAAGACGGGCCGGCCCCGTGGCTTAGCAGTTAAGTGCGCGTGCTCCGCTGCTGGCGGCCCGGGTTCGGATCCCGGGCGCGCACCGACGCACCGCTTCTCTGGCCATGCTGAGGCCACGTCCCACATACAGCAACTAGAAGGATGTGCAGCTATAACATACAACTATCTACTGGGGCTTTGGGGAAAAAAAAAAAAAAAAAGTCCCAAAGATAGTATAACTTTGAAAATATTATAACAATATTTCATTTAGAATTTTGCCACCATTATAGCCTATCTAAGACAGGATATGAATTTAGATTGCAGAATAAATATATAACGTGATATCTCATTTTTGGATATGGTTGAACCAATACTAAAATATGGTCATCTATTTTTACTCTTTAGAGCTCATTTATTTCAAGATATAGTTTTAGGTGTTTAGGGAGGGACCCTTAGGGTCATACCATGAGGGAGAGTAAAATCGCACTCGTTTGTATGTTACCAAGCCATGGTGCTGCACTGACAGTTTAATTTGTTCCGTGATATAGTAAAAGACAAAGAGACATTTTGCTAAGTAATTCACTTTTGTGAAAACCTCTTAATAGGGAATGTTTTAAAAACTTAAAGAAAACTGTTTAAAGAACATTAAATGAATTAAATTCTATAATTGTGACATTGATATCTATTTCTAAGACTAAGTCATGAAGGACCTCCAGTTATAAGCTTACATCCTGGAACTCTTTGTACTGGGAAGTAACAAATCCATAGTTCAGTTAAAGTGCTTTGTATTGCATAGTTTTTACTATACTATTTCTACCAAGATTATCTAATGCAGTCAGATTTAGGATTAATGCATTTCTACTATGCTAAAATGTCTTTATCATTTGGGAAAATCAGTATGTCCCATTCTAGAGAAAAAGACATCATATTTCCCTTTCAGATTTTTCTCCATACATTGTATTAATTTATAACATTTGTGTGTGTGTGCATGTATGTACATGTGTGTGTGTATATATGTGTGTATATATATGTAAAATCTGAGTAATGCAAAATTTCTTTGTAAGCTTGCACTTTCTCCCTGTTTGAATACAAATTACTTTTGGTACAATCACAAAAGCTTTTCGTTGGTAGAAAAACAGCCCTTGCCAATTTGCTTCTAGGATTAATTTCTCTCTTAGTGTGATTTATTTGGCACCAAGTGCTCTCAGGAGTGGCACTTTGCTCAGGTTTTGATCCAAGATGCAAACTGGGATTTCTAGGCACTCTTCTGACCTCCTATGTGATGCAGTGGCAGTGTCATTAAAATATCCCTTTTACCTTTTAAAATTAAGCTCATTTTTTTTTTCAATTCAAGGGGACTTATCAACAAAGAAAATATTCCTTCTGGGTTCAGCAACCTTGACGATTGTATTTTGAATGCTCAGGAAGTGGAAAAATTACATGAAAATACTTCCAGTTATATTGGAGAAGGGGGCAAACCCAAACGTCAGAAATCCAGTTCCAAACTTTCTGAGCTCAATGAAAATCAAGATGGTCTTGTGGTAAGTGAATAATCTTATAAAATTTTTACTTGTAGCTGGTTAGGAAATATCACATCTCTTTTCCTTGCTTTGTACAAAATGAAAAATAATTTCAATCTTGAGTTTCACAGAATTATAGAATGTGAGTTCTGAGGGAGACCTTAGAACTACTGAGTATACACACTTGTATTTCTTTTTAATAAGTATAAAAACCGAGGCTGAGAAAGATTACATTCTGCCAAAGAACCAGAGACAGCACACACTTTGATTTCCATGTTATTCAAATTGATCTGATTTTTGTCTCATTCTTTACAGCATTTTTAAATTTTATTTTTGGAACAAAAATGTCAGTAAAGCATTTTTCCTTATTTTCCCCCCATTCTTTTTTTTTTTTTCCCCCCCAAAGCTGCAGTAGATAGTTGTATGTCATAGTTGCACATCCTTCTAGTTGCTGTACGTGGGACGCGGCCTCAGCATGGCCAGAGAAGCGGTGCGTCGGTGTGCGCCCGGGATCTGAACCCTGGCCGTCAGCATCGGAGTGCGCGCACTTAACAGCTAAGCCACAGGGCCGGCCCTCCCCCATTCTATTTGTTCTTGTTTATGTGAACATGTAGGGAAAAAATTTACTGAAAGAATGTAAAGCAAGGTGAAAGAAAAATACAAAGGGAAAGAGGATCATCTATCTTCGTGTTCAGAAATATCTTCATATTCAGAAATTTAGTTTCAAATCTATATTCTATAAAGTATTTTCTTCCAAATTAATCAGAAACACACAAAAAATTAATCTCCTACACAGTTACCTCAGACCTGAACCCTGGATGATTAATTTGGTATACAAGTTATTACAAGTGGTTTCAGTCAATGACTAAATATTTATATGATTTAAATATTAATATCCATCATCCTTTTTGTGTGTACATCAGTTTCTCTGAAAAGTGAGAACTAAAGTCTGTCTTCTAATTCTCTTTAGTTTTTTTTTTTTATAATTTTATTTATTTATTTTTCCGCGAAAGCCCCAGTAGATAGTCGTATGTCATAGTTGCACATCCTTCTAGTTGCTGTATGTGGGACGTGGCCTCAGCATGGTCAGAGAAGCGGTGCGTCGGTGCGCGCCCGGGATCCGAACCCGGGCCACCAGCATCTGAGTGCGCGCACTTAACCGCTAAGCCACGGGCCGGCCCCATCTCTTTAGCTTTAAAAACTTTAACAACAACAAAAAAACTGAAGATAAATTTTATAATATAACATGAACTGGAGTCCCTAATAAAAGTAGGTAGTATATATTCTTACTGTTCAGTGTTTAAATCCTCTGATCTACTTTATCTCTGACCAGTTTTTAGCTCCATGCTGGGTTTTCCACACATTTAGCAAAACTTCTGGGCCACCTATTTCCCATTGTCAATTTCTGCATGCGCTCAGAGAAGGTTCCTAATTTTTCCCTAAGTAAAATAAACATAAATGCAAATCTAGGGGGAAACATGTTTTTTTGATCTCCTCCACCCCCTCCAAAATGTCTTGATATTCTGCTTCTAGAAGTAAACTGATCAGCTAGAATGGACAGAAGCAATCATCTACCTCAGACCCATGTCTGACACAGTTCTCCAAATAAAGAATGTAAGCTTTCGAACCATTACACATTAAATGTTTTTTAACATTAAGTTAATTCTTATTTTTGAGAAAAGTAAATTTTTGAATAAAATAAATGATACTAACTTCTTTAGCTCTTTATTTGGCCCATGATTTGCTTATCTGCCAAAGAGATGTATTACAGTGACTAAAAGTCGGGCTTGGCTTCTTTGAAAAGAATGTACTTCTCTGTTTGAATCCCTTTTTACATGACCTTGACTCATCAATAATTTTTTTTTCACCAGGAATAGTGCCTTAAGTCAGCTAGGTGGTAATAGCTAATAAAAGTGGAAAAGTACGTTTATTCTGTAGAATATGTGTGTGTGATAAAACTGTGGACATAGTCTTTGTTTAAAAACATTTGGATAGGAGAGCCTAATTCCATTTTGGTCTTTTTTAAGTGAAAGGATTTGCCCCCGCCATAGTTGCCGGTTTCCACATTCCAGGATTGTGCGTGTCACGTGTTAGCATAAGTGAGCCAAGTGGACCATGTCTTTGTTGCAATGAATAATTAAAACCCTGCCAACACCGCTTAGACAAAAGAAAAACTTCCTCATCTGTAAAGTGAGGGTGTTCTCGAAGATCTTTTCTAACTCTCATATTCCATGAATTTTTAAATCTAATCTTCACAAGTAACCACAAAGCAAGAGCCAGGGAACATAGCAATGACCAGTATTTAGACTACATCCTGCAAGTTAAATTGTGCCTCTTAACTTCCCACTTATTTTTAACCTTCTAATTTTACTTTCCCCACGTGTCCTCCAAAACATTTCCTGCTCCATTCCAAGTTCTTTACACCTTGACTAAAGATTTGTTTCTCTAGCCAGAAAAAAAAAGATTATACGTAATTATACGTCTTCTATGTACCAGGAAATAGTTCAGATCCTGAGGATACAACAGTGAAAAGAACAGGGAAAAATTGCTGCCCTCAAGGAACTTAAATTCTAGTAGGGGAAACAGACCATAATCAAGATAAATAAGTAAAGCTTAAAATATTTTACATATCAATAACTACTAGGAAGAAAAATAAAGCAGGAAGTGGGGACAAGGAAGTGTGAGGGGCCTGGGGATGCAATTTTAAATAGAGTGGTGAGAGAAGGCCTCCCAAGAATTTGACGTTTAGTTATAAAGATCTAGAGCAAGTAAGGAAGCAAGCCATACTGTAATAGCAGGTGCAAAGGCCCTGAGACAATCATTTATCTGGAATGTTCAAGAAACCATAAAGACACCACAGTGAGCTAAGTGAAGGAGGTAATGGGGGAGAGAGGGCAGATTAAGTGGGGCCTCATAGATCATTGTAAGAACCTGCCTTTACTCTGGGTGAGATGAGAATCCATTTGAGAGTTCTAGGTAGAATGGTAATCTGACTTACTGAAATTTGGTTTAACTACCATGCTGAGAATAGACAGTAAGCAGGCAAGGGCAGAAGCAGGGAAACCAATTAAAAAGCTGTTGCAGTAATCTAGGTTTGGGATGATGATGGTTTGAACTAGGGTGATACCAGAGCCAGCACATAGTGCCTTGCAGGCTGTACAATGCACTACTCTAGGGGGCACTGTTCACATCAACTAAAACGTGAATGGTTCCTCCTGCAGTAGTGCGTTGCAGTAGTTATGAGACAGTGGATGGATTCTGGATATATTTGAAGGTAGAATTGACAAGATTTCCTCACATTACCTATGGGGTATGAAATTTATAGAGGAGTCAAAGATGACTCCAAGGTTTTTGGCCTGAGCAACTAGAAGATTTGTGTTGCCAACTTACTAAGATGGAGAAGACAGAAGTTTGGGGATAATATCATGAGTTCAGTTTGGGACATGTTAAGATTGAGCTGCCCGTCAGATATCTACAAGGAGAGGTCAAGGAGGCAACTGGATTTCTGGGCTGATACTTTAGGGAGAATATTGTGGCTGGAGATGCAGTGTGGGAGTCATCAGCAGATAGAGGGTATTTAAAGCCGAGGGAGCGAATCTGGACAGAAAAGAGAAGTGGCCTCGGGGACTGTGAGCCCTGAGGCACACCAGCATTTAGGAGATGGGGGAGGTGAGAAGGTACCAGGAGAAGAGACTTGAGAAGGAGCAACCACCAAAGTACAGAAGAAGCAAAGTAGAAAAACAAGGCGAGTTTGGTGTCTTGGAAGCCAGATGAACCCAATATCTCCAGTTGGAGAGAGGGTCAGATGATTGGTCGAGTAGAAGACTGAGAGTTTGACCGTTAGAATTAGCAAGCTGGAGATCACTTAAGAAGAGCAGTTTGGTTGGAGAGATGGGAGCAAAAGCCGTTTTCCAGAGAAAATGAGAGGAGAGTAACTGAAGACAGGAATAATTTCCCAATGATCTTGCCAGCCCACAACACAGCCAAAAAGGAGAATTTGCTGTCAACCTAAAAAAAAGCATCTTGTAGATTTGGAATCTCCAAAGTGGGAACAATCCGGGCACTTTCCCCTTTGTCCTTTCACCTCTCGAGGCTGTCATGATGAGCCGAGACCAAGAGACTACACATAATTCAGAGCTCAGAAATTAGTGGAGGTAAGTGGCATTAGAGTGTTCTGCCGGGGCCGGCCCCAGGGCTTAGGGGTTAAGTGCGCGCGCTCCGCTGCTGGCGGCCCGGGTTCGGATCCTGGGCGTGCACCGACGCACCGCTTCTCCAGCCATGCTGGGGCCGCGTCCCACATGCAGCAACTAGAAGGCTGTGCAACTACGACATACAACTATCTCCTGGGGCTTTGGGGGAAAATAAATAAATAAATAAAAATTTAGAGTGTTCTGCCGTGTCTCTGTCAACTCCTTGCTCACAGCTGTGCGCTTCAATCTCTCTCAGAAGGAAACCGCGTCCCGTGGTTTACTCTGAGGAGCTAAGAGAGCCAGCTTGTGTTTCAGCAACTTCCCTAACTCCTGCTTCACAATTTCTCTAGATCTCTACTCATTTTATTTTCTCACCTGCTCAAATGATAAAGTGGTTTTTCTAAATTCTAAGGTTAACCTCTAAGGTAAAGAAGTATCTTTGGAAATCCTATTTTCTACATTCTTCTCCCCACCCTGCCCCATGTATGTGTACAAATATATAGACATACACATACACACACACACTTTTCATTGCTTCTTCTCTATTGGCTCATTTCTGTTGGCCTAGAAAAAGTCTCTATCTCTAAAAACTTGCTCTCTAGGGCACGATTTAACAGTTTGAATCCAAAGCCATAACTCAGTCATGCATTTTATCCAATAGTCTTGCTTTTGCTACTCTGTTACACTGACATAATCTTAAATATGGAAAGACTATAAGTATTAATATGCTCATCACAAGGATGTCTGCAATCATAGAGAATTAGAAGCGATTTAAATGTTCAAAAGTAGGTGACCAGATAAATAACATTTGTATGTCAATTCAATAAAATA